GGGACCAGAGGGGAGAGGAGAGGGAATTTCAGGGGGTAAAGGGGAAAGATTCACAGGAACAAGTACAAAGGACACGTAGACAAAAACTAACAGGGGTGGAAATGGGAGGGAGGTGAGGAGCACTGGGGGGGGGTAATCTGGGATGGGAGTAAAAGACAGAAAACTGTACTTAAATAATAATTAAATAATTTTTTAAAAAAACTACATCTTAAGTTCCTCATCAGTATCTTCTGTGCTAATTAATATCTTTCAGAAAATTCAGTTTTGTACATCGAGCTACTCCCTAAATTATTTCCACCATCAACCCAAATTTAATACATTTAAATCTAGAATAAACCCTCATCTTCCAATTCAAAAGAAGCCCTTCCTCTTGATTCTCATGATCTGTTTTTCTTGCCAAATTTGCTTAGTTGAAGTCATTCATGTACCATTTGGCAAACAAGTTGGTACTATGGCCTGGTAACATAATAATAAAAATCCACTCCTATCTTTTCATTCACCATTCACACTTCTGGAAATATATAATTCAAAGAACTGATAAAATTATGAAAAACTTTATGTGCATATAATTATTTTTAATGTTGAGGTAGCATCTAACATATTTAAAATTTAAGAAACTATTAGATAAACCTATTAAATAGAAACCTAACAGAGAGATAACACACTTGGTGAAATGTGTGTTATCTTAAAGATATAAAAGTGAGATGTACATTTGTATTCCCAGTGATTAAAGCTATGTACAAATGCATATAAAAAATGACTGGCAAAAAATACACTAAAATATTATTTGTTGTTTGGAAAGTGACCATATTATCTTTTATTTATATTGCTTAAACTGAACTATACCTTCTTTGAAAAGAAATTTCTTCACCATCCAAGATTTCTCCAGCTGTCTATTGTTTAGCTACTAAGTTTTATATGTTAACTATTATTTATATCAATTATTTTATTTTTACCCTTCCTGTTCCACCCTCATTCAAGACCTAATAGGGTCCTCTGAGGAGGATCCTTTAGGTTAATATACTCAACACTCACTCCCAAACCGTCTCCCTTCTCCTGAACTATTCTGGTGGCTAGAAAGCCAAAAACTCCATGTCTAAGTTTAACAAGATATTATGTGGCACAGTTCTGATGAAGAAAGCATTGGCAGAAATCTGCTGAAGGATTCCAGGGTCAATTCTGCTCTTCTGAAAATAGAAGAACACAATGCAACTGTCCTCTGTCAAAGATGATGGGAGAAATGGTTGAAATGGTCTGGATCCCTGAGAGTATTATTATGGCAGCTGCCTCTGAACATCTTATTGTGGGAGATAAATAGTCTTACACTGTAGTTCCTGTCTATTTTCTGTTACTTACAGCTTAATGTGTTGCAGACAAATATCTTGCCTAGCGGCCTTTCTGATCCTAGTCTTACATCATACACTTGACCCTACATTTATCGTAGAATGGTGAAGGAAAAAATATCAGAAGATAATAGTAAATAAATAAACACTGACAATAAAAGAAAAGAAAAGCTGACATCTGAAAACAATTTTGAAGACTTAGAAACCACAAAACATATGAAGAAAAAAATTGAAGAGTAATCTAGGTCTATTTAGTGAAGTCTTAAAAATTTTCTGAACACATCAGAAGTTTCTTAAGGCATTACTATTAGTACCATAGTACAGTATAATAATGAAAACTTCTAAGAAATTTTCATTCTACAAAAAATATTCAGCCTAAAGTAGTTATAATGGTGAGACAAACATAAAAGACATCATCACAATAGGAGAGAGTTCAACTGGAATAAAATACATGAACAAAATAATTACACAATAAATAATTTGGCTGTGATTTATCAAATAAAGTATGAGTTTTATAAAATAGAACCTGGTCTAGTATAAGTATTAGTAGGGTAAGGGGCTACTGGCAAGAAAGACATCCTTGGACAACTGAGGATAAAGCTGCCTTGTGAAAGGAATGAAGGGGAGAGGAGTATGGAAGAGAGAAATAGTGTACAGGGAGCTGGGATGGAACATACAAAGGCCTTGAGACAAGAAGGCAAATACTATTTCTGAGAAATTCCGAGAAGGCCATGGTAGCTACCCTGTTGTGTATGTGTTTGTTCTAACTTATCAAGAAAAGATGCGATTATGTTCAATATCTTCTGCTCAAGAGAAAAGCCAAGTATGAAATTAGTTCCAAAACTGTTCTACTTCAAAAAATAAAATTAAAATAGTTAACTGCTGAAAATGTTATCTGTAATTTTTGCATTGTTATTTTTTCAAATATTTAAGCATCTACTAAGTACCAGGTGCTATATTAAGTTCTTGGAATACAGATGTTGAGGTGGTTACATTCTGTGCCTTTAGGGGATTGCAATAAATCATGAAGCAACTGAGATAAACATAGAATTACAGTTAAGTATGAGCACTTTCATACAGGTGTGGTCAAAGGCTAGGAGGACATCAGAAAGAAATGATTAGTTTACTTGGGGATTGAATTATCTTGAAAATTAATCTATGTTCAGCACATCATTATCAAATGATACTAAATAAATGTAACTGAGTTTAGTCATGAGACAAACCAGAAAATCTAACTTCTGACAGATATCAAAATATAACAAAATTTAATGACTTCAAATTACACAAACTACCTCCAAAACAATACTTATATTATCCCCTATTGTCTTGGACAACCATTCAGATTTCTAGATTTGCGCATAACTGAATTGTAGATAGTGTATTTGAGATAAAAAGTAAAGGAAACACTAAATTAGACCTGATTATATATACAAGTGAGGATCACATAGAAAGGTAGGAAAAAACATACATTTAATTCATTCTTCCACTGAGATTCAACTGAAAATTTTACACTTAAAAATTTTAATGGCTTAACATTAAAGTAAAATTAAAATTTTTATTCACTGTAATCTAGAAGACTAAACTATTGATGTAAAGTATTCACATAGTTTGTCAATAAACAAAATCCAGAAACTTGAAATTTTGCATTAGTTCTGGCAATGATCAGCTGTGTAAAGACAAAGTCACTTGATTTCTCTGAGTCTCATTTTTAGTTTTCATATTATGAAATGGAATAATTTCATCAGTAGTATCCGACGGTTCTAAAATGGTCCTTCCAGAAAATAATGAGAAAATAATGAGTCACTTTCCACCACTCATTTTGTTCACTGATTTCAATATTGGCTAACTGAAATTGTAAAAACTCAGAAGAATACAAAGCCATCTTACCAATAATTTGCCAGGCCAGGATACATCAAATTGTATGAACAATACTTTGAATTTACCCAGAATAAACTGACAACTAACTATATATGCCTGACAGAGAAGCTCTGGAGTCTAGTGAAGCTTCACTGACTAGGAAACACGTACTTTCAGTCAGGTATAATCCTTCTGATAAAATCTGTGCCTTTGTCTTGGATAAAGGAAATAATTAAAAATCAACCAAATACAATGTCAGATATCATTGTATAATATTATGAAGATAAATGTAATGTGTTTATACTGTTTGTGTTGTTGTACGTACCTCTTCCCCTGTCAATCATCTTAAAGTATTTGATAAAGTTGCTTTAATGTGAATGAGTCAAAAAAGAGTGATGACTTTAAAAAAAATTTTGGAATATGGTTTTGTCTCTAGATCCAAAGAATGACACAGTAATTATATGCTGTGCTACATAATAATTCTAATTGTACTTATAGTATAATTATTTTGATATGTATTTACTATTCATTTTCATCATAATTATTATGCATAGATTATATTACCTTGTTTTTAAGTTCTCCACTATTGCCTAGAGGTACAGACTTTTCAAATATGTAGATTTACTTTAAAACAGATGATACCTACAATACTTATCATAGGGCCTCAACACATGAATATCAACAAAAACAATACTAATATTCATGTAGATGCACAATGCTCTGGAAAGCCAACCCTATACCATTTATTAGATTACTTTATAAAAGTAAGAATGTCAGGGAAGAAATTTTTTGTGACTTCTTGTAATATAAAATAGTTTATACTCTTTCCTGTGCTGTCTCTTCTCTTAGCAATGCAAAGGTCAACATATACATGATGCAAGAAGTTTTGACAAATGAGCATGAGTTTCCTCATGTAGTTTTCAATGGGAAAGAGTATCACACCACACACATTTGCAAGACCAATAGTCACAATCGTTTTGCCTGTGTTGTGACAAGGAACCCTGGGGGCAAGCACAGTGGAGGGTCAGCTCAGTTCATTTCCTCTGCAGACCTCACTCCCCTCCATACAATGTCATGTTAATGATGTGATATAAGTAAACTCTGCAACCTTTGACAAACATAAAACAAAATTATAGTGTGTGGAAATACATGACTTTATAGAAAGATAAAAAACAAATAATGGAAGCTCTGTGATGCTTAATTTTATGTGTCAGTTTGGTTAGACTATGATGCTTAGGTGTTTGGTCAAACCCTTCATTAGATGTTGCTCTTAAGGCACTGGATAGATGTGATTACAATTTGTAATCAGTATACTACAAGTAAAGTGGACTATTCTTTATAATTAATATGGGCATAATTTAATCACTTGAGGGCTTTAAGAACAAAGATTGAGGTTTTCTGAATAAAAAGGAATTCTCCTCAACACTGAAACATTGAAATTTACCACTTTCTAGGCTTTAGTCTCAAGACAGCAATACCGACTCACCTGCATCTTCAAGCCTGTAGACTTGCCACAAGCCTTAAGGAATCACATAATCCAATTCCTTAAAGTCTCTTTCTCAATTATCTGTTTTGTACATGTGTATCTCCTGTCGATTTTCTGGAGAATCCTGACTAATATACATTTATTCAGAACATGAAATATATTATGTATTCTCTTTGAAAAACAAACATTTTTGGTTCTGTTCATGCCATTGGAGAATTTTATGCCAACTCTTAACTTTTTGTTGTTTTTTTTCCTAACTTGGGAGACATTTATTTACTTTCAAGCATCACCAATCATGGATATGAGTGGTTAAATTTTTTATCTTTCCAGAAAAATATAGCACTATTGACTGACAATTACATCCCGTGGAGAACTTCAATCTTTGGTCACAGTATTAAGAGCTCCTGGTTTGTGTTCCATAAGCTGTCTTTGAAGTGTTCCACCAAACCTTACTTTTAATATTAAGATAAACACTATTTACTTAAAAGTTCATGAAACTAGCTGAGAATAAAGTTGACACATTGAGCTTATGTACTTTCTATAAAATAGGGTTTATGTACTACATATTATGTACTTTCCATAGAAACTATGTTTATGCACTTTCTAGAGAACAAATAGTGTGAAAATGACAAAAAAATGTTACATAATCATGACTCTTGGTTAATAACATCTGACTATTCTCTTTCTGTGTGGGTTATCATGCATAAAAGTTCAGTCATTTTGTAGAAATATAGTAACAAAGTCAGGTTCTTATGTGTAACAATTGCAAAAAATGTTCTAAAGGCAGAGTGTATACTATATTTTCTATTGCAAGACTAGTTGTAGGTCACTTACACCTTTAGGAATCAATTCTTCCTAATGAACATCATTATTTTCGTATCAGAAAACACACTTTTTAAAATTTATCTTTGGGGGACTTCCGCCAAGATGGAGACGTAGATGGAGGATCCACCTCACCTCTGTGCACAACCAAATCTAAGAACAACTATTTTTAACAGCAGTCACAACCAAGCTACACGGAAAATCGACAATACGGAGTCCAAAGGACAACTAGATACTCAGCTGGACCCCTACGAGGAGCGAGGCCAGCAGCGGAGCAGGTTAGCAAGAAAAAATTCCCGGGGCGGTGCGCGGTGCGCGCAGGCAACCCAGGGTGCTGATCGCCAGCCAGCTGGCTGCCAGAGCGCACAGGGAAGAGGCGCGGTGGGTCGGTCGGTCGTGCGCATTTATGTGCGGAGAAGGATCGGATAAACAAGCCCGAGGCGTGTGAGTGACTGGATGCGCTGGGCTGGCGGAGAGGAACGCCATTGCTCCCTCTCTGACCCCGCCCACACATAGCGTCACAAACCAGCGACCTGGGTCGCCCCGTCCTGGTAAACAACTAAGGCTTCGCTCCGCTCACTTAACAGCACGAATAGACCAAAAATGGCTCTAGGACAACTCAGAGCCCCAGAACCTATAGACCTAAGTGATGAAGAAATAGCCAGTCTTTCAGATGCACAGTTCAAAACACTGGTTATAAGGATCCTTACAGAACTGGTTGATTTTAGTCACAAATTAGAGAAACATATGGAAGCTAAATTAATTGAAATGAATGCTGATACAAAAGATACCAATAGTAATGGAAAGAAAATTGGGACTCAAATCAAGGGAGAGGACCAGAAGGAAGAAAAAAATGATCAAACAGAAAGGAATGAAGAAATAAGAATTCAGAAAAATGAGGAGAAGCTTAGGAACCTCCAGGACATCTTTAAATGTTCCAACATCCGAATTATAGGGGTACCAGAAGGGGGAAAGGCACAACCACCAGTTGAAAAATTATTTGAACAAATAATAAAGGAGAATTTCCCCAAGATGGCAAAGGAAATAGACTTCCGAGAAATCCAGGAAGCTCAGAGAGTCCCAAAGAAGTTGGACTCAAGAAGGAACACACCAAGGCACATCATAATTACATTAGCCAAGATTAAAATGAAGGAGAGAATCCTAGAAGCAGCAAGAGCTAAGGGGACAGTCACCTACAAAGGAGTTCCCATCAGACTGTCAGCTGATTTCTCAAAAGAGACCTTACAGGCAAGAAGGGGCTGGAAAGGGGTATTCCAAGTCATGAAAACCAAAGATCTACAACCAAGATTGCTCTACCCAGCAAAACTTTCATTTAGAATGGAAGGACAGATAAAGCGCTTCTCAGATAAGATCAAATTCAAGGAGTTCATCATCACCAAGCCCTTATTATATGAAATGTTAAAGGGACTTACCTAAGAAAAAGAAGATAAAAAAGATGAACAGTGAAAGGACAGCAAACTCACAGTTATTAAGAACCACACCTAAAACAAAAGCAAACTAAGAGGATAGCTAGATCAGGAGCAGAACCATAGAAATGAAGATCTCATGGAGGGTTAGCAACAGGGGAGTGGGAGGAGGGGAAGGGGGGAGAAGGTACAGAAAATAAGTAGCATAGACAGTAGATAGAAAATACATAGGGGGGAGGGTAAGAATAGTAGGGGAAATACAGAATCTAAAGAATTTGAGACACATGTTCATGAACTAAAGGGGGAAATGGTGGGGGAGGGGTATGCAGGGTGGAGGGGAAGGGAGGGGGGAATAGAGCAAATGTAATGGCATAATCAATAAAAAATAAATTAAAAAAATAATAATAAAATAAAATAAAATAATATCCCTTTAAACACACACACAGAAATAAATAAATAAATAAAAATAAAATAAAATTTATCTTTGTAAGTGACAAGTAAATTATAATAGCTTAACTTTTAGACTGAAGTTATATTCTGTTAAAATTATAATGTGTTAAAATGATATTTTATTATTTTGTACATAACAGATTGATATACAAGAAAATATTAAAATTATACATATTAAATTATTTTTAGATGTTAAATTATTTTTAATAGCCCATAAAAATTCTCTGGGGGGCATCTTTCAGAAAGACATGTTTTTTCTCAGAGACATATTGTAGACAGAGGTACTTACTAACTGCAGAGTCATAGAACGTAGAATTGTGCTCGCCTCTCATGAAAGGATATGGAGACAGGTAAGCATGTGTGCAGTTCTTGGATGGTGGCTGATTGGCTAGGGAGGAGACCAAAACAATGATATTTTTTATGGAGCACCTAAGTGAAGACTAGTTCCTAATAAAAAAGAAATAGGGAGCCTGAGATACACAGGATAAATAAAACTGTAGAATAGATCAACAAATTCAAAGAGTATTGAGGGAAGGGGAAAGACTTTCTAAAAATCTCATATTGAGAAGCATAGGAATCTGGAAAGAGAATGTATCCCAAACTTCTTACTCATGACATAATTCAATTCAGAGAATGCCTTTTTAATATCACCTTAAAATTGAACGCACCACATTTCATTTATTTTACAACCGTATTCTTTACTTCCTAACATAATGCCTAGCACATAGTAATTTTTCAAAAAATAATTGTTTTGAAAATCTAATAAACTTAGATTTACCCTTGATCAATTCCAATGAATATAAAATTTCTTCTATAACCTATTTCCAGGGAAAAGATGTCAATGATAGATCATACAATTTAATAATTCAAATACACATTTAACGTTTGAAAAAACACAAGAAAGAACTTTTCTGTTGTTTAAAACTTGAAGATTTCATTATGTACATTTTAAAAGGGAGTGAAATATTCTTTCTTTCTCAAAGTCTTTCAAGAAAATCTTCCTCTTGCATGCTCTGATTTACTCCATTTTACCAAAGTCTAAATAATTTTTGACATGGTGCATATTTATTTTACTCCCTTAAATGACAATAAGAATTATATCAAATATCCCTCTCAAAATGACATTTAATCATTACCTTGTTTCATATATGTAAACTTGCCATCAACTTTCTTAAGTCTTTTATGATTTCATATTTTTATTTTATATTTCATAAACTCAACTGTTGTGTAAATATCATACTCTGGTTTATCACAAGAGTATTTCATAAGGAAACCAATAACTTTAACCCACAATAAGCTTTAGAGCAATAAACAGCTCTTTTCTTTCTTGGATGTAATAAGATAAAAGCTAGCTATTTTTAATAAATTGATTTTCAAAGATTAATACAATATAAGGAATGCAGTTGAAAGAACGCATCATATTTTAAAGAAGCTGTTACAAAAAAGATCTTAAAGTTTCTATGAGAGAATGCAAACATCAAATGCAAGACATTTCTTGTTATTGTCCACAAACTTGATTGAAGCCCAAACAGAACAATCTTTCATCTGCCAAAGCTGGTAATGAAATTTCATTATTCAAAAAATAGGATTTTTAACTATTTTAAAAATAAGATATATTATTTCATGTTCATGGAATAAATAAAATAAAAACATTTATTTGCAATATAATAATAGTAGACACTTTAAAAATACTATAAATAATAACTTTATTTGTTAGTGCTAGTGAACAAGGAAACAGTGAGCAATTCAGTTTTACCATAAATATACAAATTTCTATTTATATGTTACAATAAAATAATTATTTATATAGCCATTTCTACTTACTAAACAGCAATCACTTCATGAAGACATGAGTGAGGACACCATCTTGAGAGTCTACAACTAAAAATTCAATCCTATTTTGTAAATGACATATACTAAATAAGAAACTGGTCATTTTTATTATAAAGGCAAAAGAGAAAATAAATAAAAAATATACTTACTGTACCAGAACTTCCAGATATTTGAATTACTTTCTTCCACAATGCCATTAAACCAACATCTCCAGAAGAATCCTTCATGGTGAAAAGTAATGTTCTCTATCTGCACAGAACACAAATGAAGTAACTTATCAACACAAGGAATGTAATCTAAATTATTACACTCAGAAAAATGTTAAAACAAGGTATTTTTCCCAATAATAATAATCAGTAACTTTGTACATATCCCTTTTATGAACAAATAGACATTTTGCTGCTCTTCTCTGATTTCAAGAGGATACATAAGGCTATTCTCACCACTACCAAATACATTAATAGTTTGGAAAAAAACGCACATTCTGTTCACCTGAACACTTGCCCACTTCAGTCACAAGAAGCCAATAGTCTGATCCAAAAGCCACCAAAAAGAGTAAAACTCCTAAAGCACCAAAAAGAGCCCCAAAGAAGATGGCAACATTTAGTCTCATTTTCAATTCACTGGTTCCTCTTTATTTAAAGGTTCTTCTTAAATAAAGTTAAAAAAATTTTAAATGGCAGACACCCAGCTTCTCAACAAGAAAAGAATAAAGAATTTAGAGTAGACAGAATTGTCTTGAGAACCCTCTCCTAGCTCATGTGTTGGTAGCTGCTCACTCACAACCAGCCGTTAAATTATATTCCCTTTGCTCACCCCTGGAGGGACTCCAGCCCAGCAGCTGAGAATGGCCAGCTATTTTAGGAAACTGATTGAGGAGCTTTCTCTCTCCCATGAGAATCAAAAAATAGCTGACCTTCCCCTGACTATAGAGAGGAGTATCAAGAGCTGGCTGGAATAATTATTGCTTTTGGGTAATCCATAGAAGTGGAAATAAGATGATATAAAGTCATTGAAAATATTGGCCAAGTCCTAAGTGTCCGAACAAGCTCCTCTTAGCCTAGAGTGACCATTAAACTCCTGAAGACACTTAAGACTCTCTTTGAAGATATATAAATTGCAGATATAAAGAATCACAAAGACTTTCCTTGAACACAATTGAAGTTGTAATTATTGCTTTTGCATCTTTCAGGGATAGAAATAATTTGTGGGTCAAATAGTCTAACATAAAACTGAGTACAGTTCAGGTTTATAAGCTAGACCTTCAGATATATAGTAACAAATCCAAGAATGTGGTAACATGAACTATTTAAACTATTAAAATATACTTTTATGTAACTTTTACATACTTTTATGACAACAATGTACATTGTTGACATAAAAACAGTATTGTCCATAGCAGCTCCCAGATCTAGTACAAGTTATTTCAAACAATCATCTCAAATATGAACTGATAAAAAAAATCTCAAAAACATATTGTTTTCTAGATTAAGAGGAAAACATCTCTATTTTTTCTTTTGTTTTCTTCAAGTTTCCAGTTTCCTCAAAATATGAATCTTACTTGATATTCATAAAGCCACCTAACACTAATGAATCTATACTTCAGCTCTATATTTGTTAGTTTTTGTGTCTGAATATGCCAGAGAATATTTTTAAGTATTTGCATAATACTTCAGCTCTATATTTGTTAGTTTTTGTGTCTGAATATGCCAGAGAATATTTTTAAGTATTTGCATAATATTTAAAAACTTGTACTCTCCCTATGCATATTGGTTTTATTTTCTCAGTAGTGACAAGTCACTGTTACTCTTCTAAGATGCATCTAAACTCTACAACTTACTTCACCACTTCTTAATTTGGCATCTTTAGATGCATATTTGGTAAAGACAAAAAGATGACTGTTCAGTAAAAATGTGGGGAATTGGCTGGCTCCAGCTGCATGCAATTGGAGGTACTCAAAGGTCATTAATAGAATTCTAAGTCATAGAATCAGTGACTCTGAAAGTTATATGGAATTTGAGAGTTCATCTCCCTCAATCCCTCATCTAATGTTCAAAGGTCCTTTAAAAGACTCCCCATGTCTGATTTTGTTCCACTGTATGCTGTGGGGAGAACTGGACTGGTACATGCAAAAAAAAGAAAATGAAACTAGGCCACCATCTTACACCATCCACCAGAATAAACTCAAAATGGATAACAGACTTAAGTATAAGTTATGCTATCACAAGAATCCTAAAAAAACATGGGCCATAAAATTTCAGATATCTTGTATAGCAATATTTTTGCCAATATATCTCCCAGGCCAAGAGAAATAAAGGAAAAAAATAAACAAATGGGACTACATCAAATTAAAAAGCTTCTGCACAGCTAAAGAAACCATCATCATAATGAAAATGGTACCAATTATATGAGAGAACATATTTGTCAGATTATGCAGACACCGGCAAGCAGTGTCCATGGCATTGTGACTGAGATGAGACAAATTCGCACAGAGTACTGAGTCCTGTGTAGGAAAAGGGACAGCATGGCCACTCTATCAAGGGGAGAGCATGCCAACCCTTGCCTTGATAACTTTTTACTGCTTTTCTGGGCTCATTACATTGAGGATGGTCCTTATTTACTATTCGCAAGTTCACTTTGGGTGGCTACCTTTTACAGAAGATAAAGGAGAGGGTGTTGCTAATTACATAAAAAAAAGGATATTTGCAAATATAAAGGGAAAAGTGGTTGAAGTGGTTACACTCGTCCTTGGAAGGTTTAGCATAAATTTTAGGAATTTACTTTAAAAATATGCAGTAAACGTTTGCTGCCTCAATTCAGGGTGATGGAGTTTCAGCAAAAAGCAAGTCTCAAAGCAGCCTAGGTGCAGTGCAGGCCTGATTCCCCACAAGAGAACCTATCCATGGGCGTGGGTCCTGTGTACTGGACTTTGATTTCCACTGGCCTTTCTTTTTTTTTAAGACTTTATTTATTTATTCTTAGAGAGAAGGGAAGGGAGAGAAATGTCAATGTGTGGTTGATTTTCATGTGGCCCCCACTGGGAACCTGGCCCACAACCCAGGCACATGCTCTGACTGGGAGTCAAACCAGTGACCCTTTGGTTAATAGTCTGTGTTCAATCCATTGAGCTATACCAGTCAGGGCTCCACTGGCCTTTCTGAGTGGGAGCTGGGCCCACACCACGCAGAATGGTTTCCTATAGTCAGAGATACATAAAATAAGGGTTTAATCTCCAAAATATAATAAAGAGATCATATGACTCAACACCAAAAACCGAACAATCCAATTAAAAAGTGGGCAAAGGAGTTGAATAGACACCTCTCTCAGGAGGATATACAGATGGACCATAGACATATAAAAAAAGTGCTCAACATCACTAGCCATCAGAGAGATGCAAATTAAACCACATTGAGAAATCACCTCACATCTTCCAAAATGGCTATCATTAATAAATCAACAGACAACAAATGCCAGGGAGGATGTGGAGAAAGGGGAAGGTGCACCCTGGTGCACTGTTGGAGGGAATGCAGACTGGTGCAGCCACTGTGGAAAACAGTATGGAATTTCTTCAAAAACCTAAAAATGTAACTGCCTTTTAATTCAGTGATTCCACAACTGGGAATATACCAGAAGAATCCTGAAACATCAATTCAAAAGAATTTATACATCCCCATGTTCATAACAGAGCTATTTACAATAGCCAAGATTGAGAAACAGCCAATGTGTCCATCAGTAAGTAGATAAAAGGATAAAAAAACAAAAACAAGAAAACATGATACTACTACACAATGGAATATTACACATCAGAAAGAAAGAAAGAAAGAAGGAACTCCTACCTTTTGAAACAGCACGAATGGAACTGGAAATGATTATGCTAAGGGAAAGAAGACAGTCAGTGAAAGACAAATACCATAGGATCTCACTTATGTGAGGAATCTAATGAATAAAATAAACTAATGAGAAAATAGAATCAGAGGCACAGAATGATGGAATAGACTGACAGCTGTAAGAGTGGAGGAAAGAAGTGGGGACTGATCGAAAGAAGGTCAAGAGATTAGTCAAAGAACATATATGTAGGACCCATGAATGTGGACAGCAGTGTGGGAATTGACTATGGAAGCAGAGGAGGACTAGGTAGCATGGGGCAAAAGTGGAAAATTGCGACAACTCTAGTGTTGGGGTAGCATAAACAATAAAATATTTTTTAAATAAAAAAAAATAAAAGACTACATCATCCATGCCATTTCCTGCCTGTTGGATTTAAGAACATCAATAATGTCCACACAGCTCTGCCTTAATTTCTGCCAAAAGCTGCTTCCCTAAAGTTAATTAATCCTATTCTGTCCTCTGATTGCACATAAGACAGGACGTTCTGTTATTTTGAAGATGCAATCATCTTGTGTGTCCTCAAAGCACAATACCCATTCCACCCCTAAATATAGGTATTCTTTTCCTTTAGGATAAACATTCTATTCTTTTAAACATCCCATTGATTGACAGAACTCCAAATCTCCTTGGTGCTCAGGTCCTTTCCTATAAATTTCAAGACTGAAGTGAAGCATAGTAGAATATCCTGGGTTAAGTCTAAGAACTTAATGACACCATTTTGGTTTTTTAAAAAATTTGGATGCTGTGTAATAGTCTCCCCCAAATGTCCAAACTGTAATCTTACACATAATCACATGATCTGTGAATATGTTACACTACATGGAGAAGTGCTGGACTATACAGGCAGGCCTGTCACATGAATCCTTAAAAGAAGTGAATCTTTCCAGACAATGTGACTAGAAGAAGAATCAGATAGTTTCTGGGTTGAAGATAAAGGAAGAAGGCCAGAGCCAAGGATTGTGGGTGCCCCCAGGAGCTGGAAGAGGAAAGGAAACAGATTATCCCTGAGAGACTTCAGGAATGAAGGAAGCCCTACTAATACCTGAGTTGTGAAGATTTCTGACATTTAGAACAGAAGGTTTATAAATTTGTGTTATTTCAAGCTGCTATCTTTATGTTAATTTAATATAACAGCAAAAGGACTAATATGGATGCTATTCTTTATGCAATATAAAATCAAATTGAGGTTTTAGAGGGAAAAGGAAAATACATTTTCAAAAAGTGGTTATTGAGAACTTGTGAGGGTCCAGACATTTTATCTGATATTAAGTTTACAATACACAGTTCTCCACTTTGAAGGCTTCATGAGCTAGTGGGAAAAAATGATTCCTTAGAACAAGCCCTGGCTGGTGTAGCTCAGTGGATTGAGCTCAGGCCTTCGAACCAGACAATTGTGGTTCGATTTCCAGTCAGGACACATGCCTGGGTTGCAGGCCGGTTCCCGGCAGGCCAGTTCCCAGCAGGGGGCGCACGAAAGCAACCATACATTGATGTTTCTCTCCTTCTCTCCTTCTCTTCCCCTCTAAAGATAAACAAATAAAATCTTTAAAAAAATGATTCCTTAGAACAAAGTACACAGAGGTTATAACAATGAACTTCTGGCCGTCCCAGATCCATTCTTCTTCTCACCACATACCTGTATCCAGGATGAGTGTGACTGTGTTTATTGTTGTGCAGTAGTGGTTGTAAGTGACATTGTTGTTTGAACAGGAAAAATAATATTTTACATGGGTTTTATTTATTTTATTCATATCTCAATGGTCTGTAGTAAAAGTCTACCCATTAATATTAAATCTTTAATACACATATTCACCCATATGCACACAAACAACAAGTAGATTTTTTAAATAAGTAGAAAGGAGTGTAAAACTTTGGTATTGTTACAATTCATT